GATCCTGACTGTGATTCATCAAGGCCTTGCTCTAGTTCAGGCTTCAGACATGCTGAGAAATGACCCAATAATCCAAGAGAAAGATGAGCCCATCTATTCTCTGAATTTTCAGAAACCAAATATGTGTATCCACTAAAAGAACAGGAATGTAATAGCTCCTCACGGCAGCCCATGGTGTCAGAGGTTTCCAGCCCAGGACTTGGGATCAGTAGCCACCACAGAAATGACTTCATCTATGGAATGATCCCTTGTCATTCATGGAGCTTTATATGAGCATCACACAGCCCATGCAAAGCAAGAAGGTATGTATGTATGTACTTATGTGTGTCCCTCCTCTGGTATAAAGCCCTTATTTGTAAACTCTCAGGGCATAAACAGAAAAGGAAATGTATTCAAATGAGAATAAGGAACTTGAAAGTGCTTTGTAGACTATAAAACACATGATAAGGATAGTTGTCAGTTGCCATTTTATTATTGGTGCCCATTTAAATCTTTGCTTGTCACAATTAGTTATCATCATCAACATATAAAAAGGAGAATTATTATTATTTAAAGAGCTGCAACTTGAGTTACTCTTAGGTCAAGAGAACTGTCTTTGTTTTAAAAAATACCTTACGGAAATTTTGGTGTAGAAGATAAAGCCCTAAGAAGACAAAGAACCAAAGATGAGGAAAGAAGCAAGCAGAAAAGCAAGATGGGGATAGTCAGGAAGGCTGGGGTTGTGGAGTTCAAAGAACTTTTAAGAACTGGATGTCTTATACTTAAATCTAAGTTTTGTAATCCTACATTATAAATCCCCCCCTTCCCTAAAATTTGAGGAAGTCCTCTGCATATCCAACCTTATAGATATGAGGTAATTGGAGGAACAAAGAAATCAGAGTGGCATTGAGCGTTGCGTGGCAGTGTATAAAAAAATTAGAAAGTGTGAAATGATAAGACAGTCCCTGGAACTGGCCTTTTATGGCTGAGGCAGAAATTCAGAACCAATTGTTACTAGAAGAAATGTACTCACTCCACAGGGTCTTTTCTCCTCATAGGGCAAAGCTAATGGTAACATTGTGTGTCTGGCCCTGTTTTTAATGTTTTAATTATAATAGTTCATTGAATCATCACCCCAAATTTATGAAGATGTTTTTATGACCACTTTACAGACAAATAGAGATGTTAAGTTACCTGCATCTGATCATGCAGCGAGTAAAAATAGTACCCGGGTGTGGAATCTGGGCAAATAGACTCTAGGGCCCGTATTTTTGTTCATATGCTCTGAAGCCAATGTCATTTGAATCTCTAAAGTCAAAAAAAAAAAAATCCCAGGTGACATTGGTCTGCAAATTCTTCTGATTCACAGTTTTCAAACTAATGGATTCAGGGCTGGGCCAACTTTTGATGGTATTGTGAATCTACTGGCACTCTTAGAAACCAGATGTCAAGTAAGGTCTCACAAACAAGCTGGCAGCTTGTGGAGGGGAGAGCCCATGGGATGGCTTTGGTGTGAAAGGCATGTATCATTCCTACTTCTAAGAACCAGACCAGCACTGGCCAGAGTATGAGAGGGAAACATAGGAACTTCTTTCTCATGGTCCTGGGACGGTGCAGGCCAGATTCATAAAATTTCCAAGGAAGTCAATTCAAGTTTAGAGTAACCTCCATGATCCAGGAAATGTTCACAATTAGGTTCACTTTTCTGTGCTTGGAATAATGGACCTGAAAAACATGAGTAGGCCAAACAGAGCAGTATGGGTGGCTAGGAGTGTGGAGTGGTCAGTGGGGGTCCCTGTGTGTGCCCCCAACATCAGGGAGCAGAGAAACAAAATGCATCAGAGAGATATGAGCCAGGTTGACAAAGCAATGAGGATTTAAGAAGGGAAGAGGAAAACCAGAGTTGTGGGTGAGATATGTAAGAGAGAAGTATAGGGGGTACAAACTGGAACTGTGTTTGTATCCCCAACACTTTGGCTTAGGAAGGCTAAGCCAACGTAAAGGACTGAGGCCAGAAGTGACAATAATCACTACATGGCTACATTTGATTCTTTAAGGCCCCCTTCCTTGCTCAGTCTCTTATACATTCAGACTTTCCAAATTACACCTGTGGGTTCATGATCAGCCATCAGGCAAGCCTTCTTCCAAAGGAAATGTCTTCTGTAAATAAAAGGAAATTAGCTTAAAACCTGTTAAGAATCCTGAGATTAAGAAAGCTGGGAAGATGAAATTATAGTGTGGTGAGAATAGTGTTGTAGGCAGGAAGATGGATCAGCAGCTTTATTGAGATGTTTTCAGGGGCATATGAAGGCACAGTGCTCCCCCATATTTCTAATTCCTCACTGGTGGTTAAATTTTCTCCATCAATAATCTATTCTCTTTTGAATGGCCTTATCCAAAATTCTAGCATAGAGGTTTCTGAAATTTACTAATCTCCCTACCTTTTGCCACTGCTCTTACCCAGAAAAGAGTAAAGTACCTGGGGTTGGGTGCAGGGGGTGAGGGGATGTCTCACGATGATTCACACTGGGGAGAAGGGGGTGTTAGAGTAGATTTGAGGTAATTTTCTTCTGTTCTCTTATCCTGCCAATACTTCCTGTCCTAGGGATCAATCAGATGCCATTAAATGAGCAGTAGAAGCTAATATAGGTTTAATGAAATGAGGGCCTTGGATTGACTGTATTTGTTTTAAAAACTCTCTAGGCTCTGGAAGTATAATTTATTTATAACTTGCTACTCCCCAGGAAGGTAAAACAGGTGGCTTATTTATTTCTCAGTTGGAGACTGAAGGACTGAGATCAATAGGCTCCCTCGGCAAACACTGCTGTCTGCTACATGCACTTCAGGTCCCCCTTTTCTTTTCCCTTCCTCCCACTATGAAGAGTGAAAATGCTCAAGACTCATGTTTCAAGCCTCCTTAGCAACTGAAGGTAGCGCTAACAGAATTATGCTGAGAGGCCTCTGGGAAGTATTTTTCCTCCCTGATCAAAGGAAAGAGGCATAAAGGAGAGAACACTTTTATGTGCCCCTTATTTCTGTCTTTTGGACATGGTTAGGTGAGGATATATAGTGCCTGGACTGTAACAGAAGAAGAAGGCCAAAAATGGCATGACATGAGAACCTGGTGTCCTGATGTCTTATAAATGCTAAATTTACCTGGGAACCACCTCCAGACTTCTTGACTAAATAAATACATATTTATTGTTTAAAGACCTGTTGTTGAGGTTCTCTATTACTTGTAGCTAAACACATTCTTTCAGAATTTAGTTTCAGTAAATAGAGCAGCACAGATAATGTATGTGGAAATATGGAAGGCTGGATCAAGGGCAGGGGGCAGTGAGGACATGTACTATAGACTGGGATATTGGTAATACATACTCAGTAGGTAGTGGCAAGACATTGTTTTTGACTCTTGCTTGTCATGCCTTGAGATTCAAATAACACACCTACTAAGGCTACAAATATTAAGGAAAATGGTGGGAAACCTTTTGGATGTTGGATTATGCTGGCTATTTCTTGCATCTTCTAGCAAGTTCCTATAAGAAAAAGATAAAGATAGGGTAGAGAAGTTCTGTCAGTAAGGAGAGAAGAAAAAAAAATCTGAGATGCTCTCTGCTGGTAGCCAGCAATCTAAGCTGACTGAAAGTTCCATAATTTCTAGACTATCTGGAGTCAGAAGCAGGAAAGTGCAGACATAGCAAAAGATAAGGCTGACAAAATTAGAACCCAAGCTTCCAAACTCTTCTCATTCATCATTCTTCCCCAGGCAAGGACGACAAGCCTGCTGGCAAAGGTTTGATCAAAATGGCACTTCCAACTCAACCTTGTTGTTTCTAATTGCCTCAGAGTGACCATCATTACACTAATAAAGACAGGAGACAAACAAAGCTGGTAAACCAGATACTTGGTCATTACAGCTTGTTTGGAGTGGTTCGCTGACAGTTCCTCTGGGATTTTATTCATCTTTAGAGCTAAAGCCACGCTCTTTCTGAGAAGCCTCTAGTCAATGACCAAGGACAAAGAATACAAGGAGTGTACAGGAGTACAAGGCCTGTCTATTTCTGCCCAATATGGGGCTCTTCTAATGCATTACCTTTGCTCTGAAGCTCCCTACTGCGTTAGCAAAGGTTTTGTCAGACCTGTATCATAGTCTGAGGCCTTTCCTGCCCAATCCAACATCCTTCACTATTTCCTTTCATGGGTGTTAGTTTGGTCTACATCATAGTCAGAAGGCTTTCCTTGCCCTACTATTTCCCTATTCTTATACAGGTATGACCCCCTAAAAAAAATCTCTTGCACTCCTAATTCTCAGTATTCTGCTTCCCAAAGGACCCAAACTAACATATTCATTGGTTGCAGGGATTGACTTCAGCAAAGATATCAGAAAGCCCACTAAGATTCTGAGGGCACTATATTTATTGCAAGATAAATTCTGAACTAAGTATGATTTTTTAAAAATATGATTTATGTAATCAAGGCTTTCTTAACCAAAGATAGGTCAAAGCTATATGATCTGTACAAACTGACAATAGTGTATATTCTAAATAGAGATTTTCTTTCTGTTATATGACAATGTAACTCCTTTCTGAGTGAACATATATTTGAAGGCTTAAGGTATGAACAACTTTGTGAAGAAATTAATGTTCATTCCTTTCCCCCCACCCCCCCCCCCCCCATCTAAAAAAAAAACCCCCCCCCAACCACCCCCCCCCAAACACCCCCCCCCCTCTTTTTTTTTTTATAAATTAAAAAAAAAAAAAAAAAAAAAAAAAAAAAATAAAAATGTATCATCTCATAATAGGCCCCTAAATTTTCAAATTTACAGTAGACAATTCATTTATATCTTAAATTTCTAGGAAAGGCACAGGCTTTATGTTTAAAAAAAAAAGCAGCAAAATTTTAAACCCACTAATTTATTGAAAAAACCATTACTTTTATTAGAAACAAATAGTGCTCCTCAAGATGTTGTCAATAGGTCATAGCATATATGTACATTTTATACAGTGTATTTCTCCCTTTAATTATGTTCTGGTAGGAGGTGGAATACCTCTTTGGTTATGGGAAGCAGTATTTGATGGACTGTGTAAGCTGTTCTCCTTGTACACAAACCATGCATTTCCTCCCCAAAGTAACATATTCAGAAAGCCAAAGATCACAGATACATATAGAGATCCCATACTAGTCACAGAGCCAAAATAACACATTACTTCTTGAGAATTACAGGGTGCAAGTTCCTGGACAATATTGCAACCAACAGCTATTTTAATATCTGTAAGAGCTTTAGCCCAGGCTGAAGTGCTTACCAGCCACAAGAAAATGGCTACAAGAGTAACAACAAAGTCAATCATGGGAGGTTTTTGATTACCCCAATACAGGTTTACGTAACCAACACAGAGCAGAAGAGCAGCAATGCGGTAGCAGGGGCGTCCAACCTGCAGCCCGTGGGCGGCATGCAGCCCAGAATGACTATGAATGCAGCCCAACAAAAAATCATAAATTTTCTTAAAACATTATGAGATTTGTTTTGTGATTACATATCACAATATATTTAATGTGTGGCCCAAGATAATTCTTCTTCAAGTGTGGCTCAGAGAAGCCAAAAGGTTAGACACATCTGCTAGAAGATAAAGACTACAAATGTTAACACAGGATTGTGCAGAAGAAGAGTAATCACTAATAAGGACATGTTTTTTTCCACTCTACACCATATGCATTTACACTGGGAAGTGCCTGAAATGATGCCTGATCCAACATGACTGGATCACCAAAAAAGCAGCTCTGTTTTATTGTCAAGATCTTTATAGTCAAAAATCTCGCTAGAATTTCTGTTTTGCCCTCAAAACCTCCACAGGTGGCAAAAGCAAAGATATAAGCAATCTTCTCAAGAACCTTGATGAAGCCCAGTGGCTCCTTGAGTGAACTGAGGTTGAGCTGGAAGGAGGACATCCTCTGAGGGAAGGAGGGAGAGACAATCAGGACTGCAGAGCGGAGGAGAAGGGAGACTGAGGAGACGGAGAGGTCTGGTCTGGCCAGCGATGAGGAAGGGCAGGCTGGGTGGGCTCCGGGAGGTAGGTCGGGCTCTTTTTTTATAAGTGAAAGTTTTTATTGAAAGTATCTTCCTCCTTCTGCATTATTGTGTTTGGAGCGAGCACACTGTTGTTTAACTTTAGGCTGCTTGCCATAAGAATCTACATTGAGACTTGATGGAGAAAATTACGAATCACCCAGAGATCTGAGATTTGGTGCTCACTATGGTAACTGGATGATCCTGTGGATTTGTTCTCCCTGAGTCAGTGGGTGAGAACGTTCCACCTACAGTGTCTGTCAGGAGGAAACATGTCTATAGATGGTGGGTGGCCAAGAAGATGTGTGCTGGCAAACACTCTGGCAGGCCATCCGCAGACAGCCCAACTTTCTCTTGCACCTTCCACAGTAGAGGATGAAAACAACATTGGATGTTTGCTTTGTCAGCCTCTTTGCTGTAGAGACAAAGGAAAAGTCTTCTGGGGGAGCTCCTGAGATGTTTTTCTTTGTAATAAAAGGAGAGAGAAACAGACAGAGAGATCTATTCTGCACCCCTACTTTCTTTATGAGAATATAGCCATGTAAGGATTTGCTATCTGCAGCTATAGTAGCTGTCTTGTGACAATGAGAAAGCAAGAGAATGGCAGAAACACAAATCCAGGTCCCAACATCTGGAATACCCACTCCAGACATCTTGTTGGGTAAACAAAAATGTTCTTAGAATTTCAGTCATTCCAGTTGAGTTTTCAGTTACCTGTAACTGAATGTGGGTTAACTGATCTAATCTCAGACTTCTTTGAAAGAAGCATTTCAATAGTCATTCATGCATGAGTGTCTCCAGTTATTTTTGTTACTTATGTACATCCATCTAAAAAATTAAATACATCTTCATAACGATTACATACAATATTAGAAAGTAAATAAAATGATTAAATTTTGAGCTTTAATTCCATAGAGTTTCATGATTACTAGTTAAGAAACATATCATCTATTCCAAATCACTGGTTCCGTTGAAAATGCTAATAAAACATCCAGTTCAATGCATTAGATCCAATAGAGTGTGCCTTGAGATATTTTTGAGATATATTTCCAGCCTTGTAGACAGTGGATGTAGCCAAAGCCCAGCAGCAGCACTTAGTCCCTTGTGCTGGGAGAGAGCCTTTTATTTAGCCTACCTGCCTCTGGCTGGATCCCTCCACCATTTGCCCCATGAGAGGGAATAGAGCTCAATAGGTACAAAAATGGTATAATGTCGTCCTACCAAGTAGCTCTGGAGACTAGTGAGAGCCATCTGGGATAATGTCTTTCTAATCCTTAACATTCTTTAGACATCATCCAATCCAGTCCGATACACTAATTTTACATACAATAAACTGGAGTCCAGAACTATGGGGATGGCTTGCTAAATTCATTTTGCTACTTACTGACAGAGCAGAGGTGGGGAATTAAACTGAGGTCTCTTGCTCTTTGTCAATAGCTTATTTATTGAACTTTTATTTCCAAATGGGCAAGAACAAAAGTGACCTCTTCTTTTGTCTCACTCCTTCCAAAATATCTAATCCAGAGGTGTCATGACCATATCTAATAGGTGTTCAACAAAGTTATTTGTTTTTGGTTTTTGTTTTTTTTTTTTTTGAAGAAAGGAGTGAAGGAAGGAAGGAAGTGAGGGAGGGAGGATGGGAGAGACGAAGGAAAATAGGAAGAACCATACTGTAAAAATGGGATAATTGCCTTGTGACAGTTAAAAATCCAACTTGGAAATCCAAACTTGTTAGAGATTTTTTTTTTATCCCAAATTATCATACTGAAATAAAGCATTCTATTGCCATGCTATGATCCTTGGACATCACAGACACTTGACACTGAATTGACTCTTTATGGGGTCAAAATTATCACAGACATACATATTTAAACTTCTTTGCTTTTGAATTACATTATTAACAGTCATTGGAAATGAAGTTTTCTAAAAATATTGTTAATGGAAGGAGATGAAGAATCTTACATTTCCCAGAAATACAAAAGAAAATGCTGTCAATAATCATTCATACATGAGTTAATTAACTAATTCAATAAACATTATAGAGCATCTACTCTCTATAAGTGAATGATTAGCGTTGTGGGAGGCTCAAAGGTGAACCAGACACAATATCTTCCTGCCCTCAAAGAGAATAATGGATGAGGCTTGGATGTCTAATATCTAACAAATAATTGCATTACAAAACTATATAGAGCCATAGATGATAGATGGATAGAGAGATAGAGAGAGAGAGATAGGTAGGCAGATAAATAGACAGATACACACTTGTGAGCTCCCATGAGAGGGCATGTTCCCAGACTTGGCATTGAGGCTTGAAGGGTGTGTCTCTAGCTCCGTGGATCCTCCTTCACCGACCCCTGAGATTTTGATTATTCTTATTATGCTTATATTGCAAGCCTGTTTTGACATGGTAGAGGTTCTGTGAAAGAATAAAGGACTCTGATCTAGCCTAGGGACCCAGGGTTAGGAGGAGGATGAGACATGAGAAACTTTTCTCAGAAAAAGTTTCCCTGAGAAAGTGAAATTTGAGGTAACAAGAGAAGGATGAACAGAAGATAACCAGGTGAAGGGAGAATGAAGAACATTCAACTCAGAAGAAGCATCAGAAGGGAAAATATCACATCTGAGGAATTAAAAGATAGGAAGCAGGACTGAGAGCAGGAAAGGAAGGGAGTCTACAGTAAGACGAACCTGGACAGGTGGGCAGCATCCTCAGAAGACATGCGAACAATACTGGTCTTCCTCACAAAAGAGGTGGAAAGCCACTGAAATATTTTATTCAGGTGGTGTTTTATGTGTATTTTAAAATGCTTTTTGATGAGTTAAGACTAAGATTATTTATTTAACCGCCAAGGAAAGATAGTAATAGAATAGTTCTCAGACTCCTTCTCCAGATTTGATGGTCATGAAAAGTTCCTCAGGTCCCCTTTAGTGTTCACCATCAGCAAACACTTGAGGAGCACTGACAGTGGCCTGGTTTCCAATCCTGGCTGCATAAAAGTCTAGTGCTGTGTTTACATAATGACAGAGTCAATATATGCTGGCTCATGGCACCAATGCTTTATCAGGAGGATAAATGGAAAGTTATTCTGGGCTGAGAGGGTAAGGAGATCAGTTTATGGAAAAGAGAGGCTGCTTATGCACATATTCTGTAAACTACAGATCAAAAGCCAGAAGAGGAGAGCCAAATATGAATAATGAAATCACACATCCAAAAGCCTAGATGGAGTCAAACATCCTAACAGTTTCTTTCTAAGGAAAAGTTTACCTTGTGTTGAATGCTTTGAAGATAAGTGCTCCAAAGGCAGAGCAAGATAGCTATCACATTCAGGAGAGATAGGTGAACTTTCCAAATTGAGTTCATTTAAATAGCACACCCTAGAGTGATCTGCCAGACAAGGAGGGTCACAATGCCTTCCACTGCATTTGAGGGGCACTTTAATCTCCAATAATTTAATTGTTCCTTGATGTCTGGTGGTTAGGGACTGAGGTGACCTTACCAGGAGATTTTACTTTGGACTAAAAATCCAAGTCCCCATTTTAACCAAGAAAACTCCCAATGTGGTGGAATTGTTAGCAAAGCCACAATCATGCCCCATTCACTTCCCAGCACATTAAGCTTCATCCCTACCTTCTTTCAACCCTCAGTTCTAAATAGCTGCTGATGCCAAGGCGGGGGGTCGGGAGGTGTCTGGTACTGTCCCAGTTTTACCAATGAAAGTCTTGCATACAAGGCAGCCTCCTCCTGCCTCCCCACAGTCTTAAGCAAATTGACATGTTTGGTCACCCTACCAAGGTGATGAGTACTCTCTGGTGAACACACGAAGTGACCTGTTTGCATCCCTCACACTTGTCCTCTTTGCAGTTGTGCATATGGGTTAGCTCCTGTGCTTCCAGAACACTCTTCACTCCCTTGGCTTGCTTTTCTCCTCCTTCTTTCATTTCTTCTTCCCCTTCTAACCATAGAGTTACTGCTTTTCATGATTCTGTCCTTATCTTTCTTTTTTCTCTCTCTTCACCTTTATCCTTAATGCGTCCTCAGATTCATGTCTACCTCAGATTCATGGAACCTCAGAATGTGACTTTCTATTTAGAACTACGGTCTTGATGGATGTAATCAGTCGGGATGAGGTAGTACTAGATTAGGGTGTACCCTAAATCCAATAGGACTCTAGTCCTTGTGAGAAAAGAAAAGGACACACAAAGATAGAGAGAGACAGAGCGAAGAAGCTCATGTGACCACAGAGGCTAAGATTGGAATGACATAACTGCAAGCCAAGGAACTCTGACAATTGCCAGCTAGTATCAGAAGGTCAGAAGAGGCAGGGAAGCATTTTTCTTTCGAACCTTCAAAGGAAGTGTGGCTCTGATGACAACTTGGTTTTGGACTCAGCCTCCTGAACTACGAGAAAATAAACTTCTGCTGTTTTATGTCCCCTGCCCCAAGTTTGTGCTAATTTGTTACTATAGCTGTAGGAAATCAATGCACTACCTACTTAGGTAATTTTATTTAATCTTCATGGTTTCAGTTCTGTCTATGTGCCTGTGACATCTAGTTAAGTGCTGGCCTGGAGCTGTCTCATTCTAGATCTGTGTTTCCAACAGCTGCCAAAGCAGCAGGAGCAGTGGGTCTCGGTGATCTACATGTGCTGTCTGTGTAATATTTTCTGCTCTGAATTTACCTCTTCCACACTCTTGCTCTCTCCTCAATAATTTTTCATCTAGGTTAGTGGCATCACCAAACACCTTCCTCCTTAACCTCAAATCTTGATGTTACTCTTGATTATTTCTCCTCCTCCTCCTTCTACATTTATCTGTCCATTAAAACCTCTGTGATTCTCCCTTAGAAACCTCTCTCTGCAGAATATTGGGTGAAGCAGAGTAT